GATGGAGGCAGCCTTTTTTTCGATCACGAATCACGCGTCTGGACTCTGGACCGTCAGCTCCCCCACCGACCGGGCTGCCGTGCATGGGCATGGTGGAACTGGAACCACGGGTGGCGGGGCACCGTCTGGTGGACTTGTGCGTGTGCCGTGTAGCGCTGCGCCCGTGGGCCGGGTGGCCTCTATGCGTTACCTGTACTTGGCCCCGCCTCACGATGCACGGCAGGCTAAGGTATTGCATAGCGATGGTACAGTAGGATTAGGATCGAGTGGAGCGGCTAGAGCACCAGCGAACACGCACGAAAACGTCGAGGAGTGTACGGTGGGACTGCTGATTGAGCACCGCCGAAGGCTGGATTGCCAGAGGATGGATTCGTACTGAGGTGGCGACCGGCACAGCCCAATCGAGTAGCGACGGACAAGCCGCGGTTGCCTTCCAGTCCAGTTTCGTCCCCCCGGCCTGCTGTTGTGCGAAGTTTTGAGAGACCCGTCGCAAGGAATGGGCTCAGACACTATTAGCCCATGCCCAAAGGCCTAGGAGCACGCGGGTTCGTCTCAGTTAGGCATGGCCCATTTCGGCAACCAGCTGAGCTGACGGTCAGACTGTCGGAGTGTCTTGTTCATATGATCGGCATCACAAACCTGCTCAGGTCGCCAATCTCAGATAAGACAAATCTCTGATCGCTTAGGCGTTATGCCTATGAGTCAGTGCAACTGAACGGCGTTGCATATGACCTGATAAGAGCGATTTTTTATCATATAATATCATATCCTATACTCTTATAAAGTTAAACCCTACTAAATAATTTTTCTCTTCGTGCAAGATATCCACATTATTTTCCACTAAGTGACCTATTAGATGTTTCATTTCTTCAGGCAAGGTGTCCACTTCATTCCTCGCTAAGTAAATGTCATCCCTTGTTAATTTTCAAAAATATCAATGTCATCTCTATCATGTGCAGTACTTTGTTTCATCACCTATTCCTCTATAATTAATTAAATATTCTACTTATTTTTCTTCTATTAACTTATCAATTTTTTACCAAATCCAATATCATAAAACAACATGCAAGTCAAATTCATATATATATATACACACACACATTATACAGAATGGCATATAAGTAATGCTATGAATATAATAGATTTATTTTTAAGAAAATCCCGCGGCAACGCGTGGGATAGTCTTCTAGTTTTTAACACTTTTTAAAAACAATTTTTAAATATGACACGGTTAAACTTTCTTTTTAAACTAACACTTTTGGACGCGTCCAGCTCGCTGGCATGGCAAAACAACGTCGTCGCGCCATGCATGGCGGCGCGGCAAGCCTGCCTGCGTGGCAGTTAGCCACGCGCTAACTCGCTGACGTGGCGGGGCGGTCGCAGCAAGGCCGAATACATAACCGCGCTCGGCTCCCTCCCTCCCTCTCTCTCCTTCACTTCTCTACTTCACTCGTAGGAACAGCGCCGCCGGCCCCTCTCTCCCTCCCTCCTAAGCGCATCCGTCCCCTCTCTCCCTCTTCTCAGCGCAGCCCCCATCTCTCTCTCTCTCTCTCCATCGTCCCCCTCTCTCCTTGTCTCCTTCAATTCTCCTCCCCCTCCACTCTACACTATTCATGTCAGTGAGTCAATGCGTGGCTGACTGCCACGCTGGCAGGCCTGCCGTGCCGCCATGCATGGCGCGACGATGTTGTTTTGCCGCGCCAGCGAGCTAGACGCGTCCAAAAGTGTTAGTTTTTTTAAATGGTTTAACCCTGTCATATTTAAATATTGTTTTAAAAAAGTGGTAAAAATAAAAAAATTATAAGAGCAAGATTAATAATAGAGCTAAGTGTTTGGCTATAAGTCAAGTTATAAGAGCCAAGTTATAATAGTTGTCTCCTATTTGTCTATAAAAAAGTTTTTTTTTCTAATTTCTCCTCACAACACTTGCTATTTGGGCCCACATTACATGTGCATACGTATCCAGCTTGTTACTTGCATGATAGCCAAGCTCTCATCTGTCTCGTCTCTTCTCTCCACATCAGCATTAGCTTCACTGTAAATCTATTATTGTACTTGCTCTAATGGATTAGGATCCTAATCAATATGGACAAATTTAATTAAACCTGAGTCTAATCCTACTACAATACAAAATGACTAATTAATATCCAATATAATTGTTTTTAAGTCCAAATCCATCCACCATGATTTAATAACACTAAAACTATTATAATTACATGTTGGCCCTATGCCAAAAACTGGACCTTATTTAGAATTAAAAGTTAAAATGCTTCTGTTCACACCTTAAATTTTTTTGGCGAAATTGATTAAAATTTGCTAGAGATGACTCAATATGATTGTTCGCTACTTTATATAAATCGGTGCAATTAGATATATGTGTGCGTGCCACGTCAAAAGCTAGACTCTAAATAAAAACCGAATTCACAACTTAATTTTCTAATGAAATTAACAAAAAAATTGTTAGAGATGACTTAGTACAACTGTCCGCTACTTTATACAGATTGGTGTGACCAGTAGATATAGTTGGTCCTCCAATCGATCATAGACTCGAATATATAGAGGCCATCAACAGGGCATTTTAATCCTCCGAGGCGCACTAAAAAGTAAATCCTAAAAATTATCATAAAAATCACAAAGATCTTGCCATTAATATCCTAATTACCATTGATAATAGTAGCATCTAATCGACTATAAACAATGGATTTCATTTGGAAAGTGTCGGATATAAGGGACCAGGATACCTCATCGCCTGTATTATTCCAGCCCATGGCTACGGACTAGGTCGAAGACAACCAGTACGAGGCCCATGTACGCTGGGCGTGACAACAAACGTGATACGGACTAGGTCAAAGACAACCAATATGAGGCCCATGTACGCTGGGCGTGACAACAAACGTGATGATCAAGTCACCTAGCATAGATAGCTTGCATTCCGATCTCTGTGGGACATGATCAAATGATCTTTTGTACTTTTCATGTAACTAACTAGGAGACATATCTGTTAGCTGATCAGATCTCCTGTAACCCTATCCCCAGGCTATAAAAAGAGGGATAGGGACCCCGATCAGTACCCTTTTACATCCATTCTAGTGCATAGCTACCATCAGTAACCCCTGTAACTCAAGCATACAAACAGATAGAGATCTACTTCAAACTGGACATAGGATACCATGGACCTGAACCAGTATAAACCTTGTATCTTGTGTGCTACCCATTTGATTCCCTGTGCGTAGATACACTGATCCGTATTGCCAGAGTAAATACTTCCGACAGGAAGAACCGGTAAATTCTACATACAAATGTTAATCTTCATTTTGGGTCAAACAGTCAAATTCGAAAGATTACTCCCGGACTGCTCTACTGAACTTCTCTCTTCAGACTCACTAAACCTTCTCAAAGACTCCTTTTGCACTGAGAACACAATTCAACATTTAAGTTACCCACCTATACTATTATGAGAAATAATATAAAGTACCCTCCATCCCCACCAAATTTTCATCTAATTCGTTGCCTTGCCATTATGAAAGATAATATAAGTAACATATTAAGATCTATCTTGGACTAAGAACATTTGTCTTATAAGATAGAAACATTTTATCTTAGACCTAGAACATCTCCTATAGGCTATACTCATTAAAAGAAAATGTTGTATCTTCATTAGATAAATGGGGTCTTGTTTTGAAGAATTTATTGCAAGAAACATGATGAATGGTGCAATTAAAATTTAATTTGGATACTTATTTGGTAACGGTATCTTTTTAAAACTTGATACAAATGGTGGGCATACTTTTCGGCCCGCTAACAGTAATTCGATCAACGAAGCAATGTAGTATTAACTGTAGAATTTGTACTGGTTCATTATAATTCATTTCGGCCCACTATATTTCGATCAACGACGCAATCAGGGGAAAAAAAATTTGGCGGCACTTTTCTCGCTGCCGAGTGGCCAGCGTATAACACGTCCCATGTACTGGCTTATATTACCACCGCTAGATATGAGAGAGGGTATCGAGAGAATTATAATAACAACTCATATATATATGGTTCAAATACAATCCTGTCCTGTGTCCTCGCTTATCTTCCTTCCCCTCCCTGTTGTGTTGTGCTGTTCGTCTGCTCCGACTTCTAATTCGATGTCTTCTCTTATCCTACCTTGCTAACAGATACTCAAGGCGTTTCCTCGTATTGCGGCGGCGAGGGTGGCTGGGGAGCGCCACCGGAGAGTGGTGGTGGACATAGCAAGGTTGAGAGGGCGTCATGTGGTGGCTCGCCAACAAGAAAACGTCGGAGAGGACGAAGAAGCCCTCTATGGAAGCGGGGGCCGCGGGGAGGACATCAGGTGATGGTGTATAGACAGTTAAAAAAACGTGTGCACATACATTACTGGAAACTCGCATTCTTCTGTGTGTGTGAAAACACACAGAAAAATGCGAATACCATCAGAAAAAATATTTTTCTGACGATGTATCCTTAGAAAAATACACACGGAAAATATAATGACAGAAAAATTTAATTGTTCTGTGTGTTCGCCGTCAGAAACAATTTTTCTGTGGGTGTTACACGCACAGAAAAATTGTGTTCGGCCAAATTAAAAATAAAATTTCTGTGCATTATTCCTCACAGAAAAAAGAAAAAACCCGACAGAAAAATTATTTTTCTGTGGGTGTTATACACACAGAAAAATTGTATTTTTCTGTCGGGTTAGGTGAGATGTTAACATACCACCGACAAAATAATATACACTTACCCATGCAGCAAATTGAATACAATAATTATTTGGAAACAATAGCAATTGCATATTAAAATATGGACTGTCTATACAGTAATTTCATCACAACATATAAAGATGGAGTCCAAATGTTCAGCACATTCATTCATAGCATCCAGGCTACATGTAGATGATGTCCAAATGTTCCGGCATCAATACATTCAAAAGCATTACCATCTCATCTTAGCAGTTCATGAATTTCACTACTTCAGTTTCCCTCTCCTCAGTAATCATGGGGGTGCAGAGCAGCAAAGGCCAGGTGATGTTCTCCTCCATCGCCCTGCTGCAGCAGAGGTTCAGGGAGCCGGAGAGGATCAGGGAGAAGCGGGAGGAGAGGCTTCTCCACGTGCTCGCCCCCCCCCCGCCCTGCGGCCACGTCCTCCCCGAGGGAGATGCCCGTGAAGTGGTTCTTCCACCCGGAGCTGCTCTACCCGTGCAGGCCGCTGCGTGACACCACTGCCGCTGTCGCCGCCGCCTCCTTATTCCCGGCTGTGCTAACCACTGTCTATGAATATAGCCAAAAGATGCACAGACAAAACCAGACACCGTCTCATACTGATGCCCCTGCCAAAAGATATTGTCCAAGTGTCTCAAGATATCAGCCAATCTACGAGAAACATGACAGAAATACACAGCACCATATAATGATGACTGCCAAGGGCATATCTCACAAACAGAACATTTGTGAATATTTTGTTGACCTAAATATTAAATGTCCAATTTCCACCAAAAAATAGATATAATAACGTCATATCTGTATAGATTCTGCAAACCAGGCATCTCTAAATGATGGAACTCACATTTCGATGATCATCATACGGTGTCCACTCCAACAATATACACATGTCCATGGGAATGCATAGCAACAGAAGAGAAAGCTAAGATCAAATGAGAAACAATACCTCTGGTATTTTGATACCAAGCTCTTCAGATAGGTGATCTATCGATGTATTTGCATCAACATCAAATGTTCCGTCTCCCCGCCTTACTGTACCACTGAATATAAAACTAAGCCTAAACAAAATAAAACTAAAGATGCATTCGATACCAAGCTCTTCAGATAGGTGATCTATCGATGTATTTGCATCAACATCAAATGTTCCATCTCCCCGCCTTACTGTACCACTGAATATAAAACTAAGCCCAAACAAAATAAAACTAAAGATGCATTCGATAGAACTGGTCAATAAAACAAAAGTTCCCGCTCGGTCCAGTCAAGCAAATAAAATTAGTATTAAACCGTGCAGTGTTGGGACTATGGTAAGAGCCTAAAGCAGTGGCCATAGCATACAAGCTTCTTAGTCCTTACACATACTCAAGTTTTCATAATACAAATGCTGCCCATAATTACTTCTAGCCTTCACAAAGCAGTACAGCTGCAAGAGACAGGAAAAACTTACAAATCTACAAGTGCAAAAGAAATGACAGGCAGGTAGTGACCATCTCCAGAAATTTCATATTTAAAAGTATATAATTACCAAAATTTCACAGAAGAAATGCCACACAGGTAGTGACCATCTCTAGAAATTTCACATTTGAAAGTATATAATTACCAAAATTTCACAGAAGAAATACCACAAGACAGTGACCATCTTCAGAAATTTCACATTTGAAAGTAAGGCAACAAATATATGATTTACATGCAAAAAAGTCATGTTCTTCTACAAATAGCAATGCAAAAATCACATAGCTCTATTGAATTGAGCTAATAGAAAAGAAACTATTGGTCATTCCAGATCCATTAGAGAGTAGTATGTCAAAAGCACAAGAACTACATATATTTCACCTGGAGCAAAATAACAAGAGCAAAAGAACTCGAGAAATGGCTCAGATTTATCCATTATCAGCATGACAACTGCAACTTAATTTCACCTGAAACTTAATTTAATTCTCTCTCTAATGGGAATTGAACTGGCCATAGAACTGGTTGCTTGTACTGGTACAAGCCATCCTAGTTAAGCAGCAAACAGAACAAAATATCCCAAGTACCAGCTCATAAGGTGCTAAAGTGCGGAAGTTCTCTAATAGAAACTTGATTCATCACAGCCACTTAAGAGTAGTACAAAACAAAAAAAAGTCACAAGGCATAGTTAGGGAAGGGGAGAGCAGTGCAGCACGAGACTGGAGTTCCATATCATCTCAGCTCGGCAAATATCACATATCAAAATGATTGATCAGGTTGATATATGCAAGATATTCAAGATACTGTTTTCATAGCATCTCACCTGAAAAGCAACCAGGGTAACAAAACAAACAAGTTAAAATTGTATTTTAACTTTGCAGTAAAATCTTCTTATTACATTGCTCCCTCAAATTCAAATATAATGATATTATTTGAGTGGTCCATCCATGTATATTTCTTACATTACAGTAAATTATGTTAGCATAGTTCTACTTGTGATTTTCAAAGATGTCAAGTTATTGATAAAAGACAATGGAGAGCTCCCATTTGGATCAACAGCTCATTGCTCATGTACGTTCAAGAAATATTTGATGCACTACTAATCGTGAATTATGTTAGTATATTTCTACTTGTGATTTTCATGAATCAAAATGGCAGTGCAGTTTCTTCATACAACAAATCAGAGGTGCTACTACTACTAAACCAGCTGGAACAACCCAACAATGCAACCAAGAGGTCATCTTACTGTTAATAAAACAGGAGCAGTGGAGGAAGCAGCTCCAGTAGTGAATACATACCCATGGTGGTAGTAGCTCCAACAGCTCCGGATCCGGGAGAGGGAGGGACGGCGCCGGGGAAGAAGGCCAGGGAGGGGCGGCGCCGGGGAAGAAGAAGGCGGGAGGGGTGGCTGGGACCACCACCACCACGCCAAGCCTGCAAAGCCACGCCACAGACGCGCGCCCGCCACCACCAGAGCCCAGATCCGGCCGCCACCAGCCGGATCCGGGAGAGGGAGGGGCGGTGCCGGGGAAGAAGAAGGCCGGGGAGGGGCGGCGCCAAGGAAGAAGGGGAGGGGCGGCGGCAGGGAGGGGAGGGGCGCTGGGGGCCGGGGGCCAGGGAAGAAGAAGGGAGGGGCGCTGGGGTCCGGGTGTGGAGGAAGAAGGGAGGGGGAGGGGGCGCTGGGGTTTGGGTGCGGAGGAAGAAGAAGGGAGGGGGAGGAGGCGCTGGGGTAAGAAGATGGGAGGGGGAGCGGGCGCTGGGGTTCAGGTGTGGAGGAAGACGGGTGAGGAGGAAGACATGACTTCTTTGTTTATTTATTTATTTTTTTCTGGGCGTGCATATATTTTTTCTGTGCATTTTTAAAGAACCAACAGTATAAATTGTATTTTTCTGTGAGTGTTTATTTTTCGTGTGTATTGTCACGCACAGAAAAATCATACAATTATTCTGTGGGTTTTCGTATTTTTCTGTCGGGATATTTTGAAACCGACAGAATAATCGTAATTTTCTATACGTACCGAAAAAAACGCACAGAAAAATTCCTCACCCACGAGACAATTCGAGTTCCAGTAGCGATAGCAGCAGATTTCTCCTCCCAGTTGCCTTTGCTAAGCCATGCCACTCCAGTGCTTTCTGGCGCATGTGTCCTTTGCCTGGTCCAGATAATTGCAGGCTTGAAGCGTCCGCGAATCCCACTTTGCTGTCGAATAAATCTCTAAGAAAATCACGAGATATCATCCTCGGCTAGATCTAGATGCCGCGGAAAGAGACCGCCGCTCTGGGCCGCGCACCACCTGCGCTGCCTTTTCTGCTGGATCAGCGTCGCCAGTGGTCCGGCCTCATTCCTAAGTCCCCACCGTACCGCGCACGCAGGCGCGAGGACTGCGCGCGATTCCTGCACCTCCACGTCGCGCGGCGCACGCTCGGCGGCACAAGAGCGCGAGGCCGCTGCGGCCACTGCCATGAGGTCCCGGCGCCCACACGATTGCTGACTGTGCTCGCCCGGAGCCGCGGAGCCCGTGCCGCGGGGCGCCATACACGCAACGGCCTAGCCCATGCACGTTCCCTGCTGCGCCGCGCCGCGTGCCGCCACACTGCCCGCGCCGCCGGTGCGCTATAAAGCCCGAACCACACGCGGCCACTCCCTCTCCGTGCAAATCGAAACAAACACCAGCAACACCACAGGTAGCTAGCACTAGCATACACAGCTCCCATCAACCACAGTAGCAGCTTCTTCCTAGAGAGCTAGCTATCTTGGGCCAAGCAAGAACTTAGCTTTGGTAGCTTGCAATTCACTCGATCGCACACACTTAAACTGCGATGGCACCAGTGTCGGAGGCGGCTAGCTACCTCGAGCTCGTCCAAGGCGGCAGCATTGCCTCCTCCTCGGTTGCCGTTTACGCCGCGCCTTGGGACGGGTGCTGCAGCGCGCGGGGAAGGATGGCGGAGACCGACAGCGACGACGACGACGACGACGACGACTGCGCTCCTGCTGCCTGATCGAGAACCCGCCGCGTTCTGGTGAAATTGATCTGTGTTTCTGAGATAATGAGATATGCTGCGCGTACGTAGGCGAAGTGGCGAACCGGCGAAGAGCATGTAGTAGTAGTACGTACTATATTACTCCAGAATAGATAGAGTAGGTGCCGCTGCTTCAAGCTAATAATTTGGTTGTTTCTACTCTTTAGGTAAGCAGGTATATATGTATTTCGGGTAGCTTAATTATGAGCCAGTGTGGTTTTCGTCCCGGCATTACGCTAGAGATCAGATCACGCAGCCTAGATTATGTAAGCAATAAACACTGGGTTAGATCTATCTGTACTTCGGATCTGATGACGCAATAAACTGTTTTTTTTCCTTAATCTACTTTGTACTTCCTTTACATACATTACACTTGTTGCTCGCTTGTTCTTGTTGTATTCCAAGATAATTGTAGATTGGTCATTGCATGCATGCATGTGTGCATATATATATATACATCGACTGCCTCTATACGACCACCCCAAGCGGCCGAGGGTCTTATTGCTGGGAGTTTCTAGCTAGTAAACTAATAACTTCTTTCTTTCATGAATACGAAACTTTATCTCGAATTAGAATATTTGATTCACAAATGCATCGTATATTAGGGTTATAACTTGGGTACTATTATATGCAGACTTTGTCAGCATTTTTGTCAGTTTGCAGAATATCGACAACAGAGCCATCTTGCAAAAAAGCATGCTGGATATTGCCAGTCCAACTTAGGATTGCAGGGATTGCTCAGGCCGCCATGCATTGAAATTTGGAGTATTTTATCATCACACTTTCGCGGTTGTTGGTTTCATCTTTGATTTGTACACGGCCCAAATGCTCCAACATAATATGCTGCTCCATGTAGAACAATACATCGATATATAACTCTTCTAAAAGGGGAGGATTTGGAGAGAAACTACATGTGCTTCACAATGAAAAATTAAGAAGGCAAACCTACAATCTTGATGTAATCTAACCTTTAAAACATTGTAAAAACTTTGCTCTAATCCCTGGACCGGTGTGGACCAACCAAATTA